GCTCCTCCTGCGCCCAGGAATGAAGGGGAGTGTTACGATATGAAGTTTTATGAGAAGGCATTCCTGTATGCTGCAGGAGCCGACTCTACCGAGTACGAAGTCGAGGAGTCAGAAGAGTCGAAGCGACGCAGCAACCGTCTGACCAAGACCGATGCAGGCAGAAACATTTGAAGTGAAAAGAGCGGGAACAGGTTTGAAACGGGTTCCCGCGCCGCACGGTTTGAATTTGGTTGCAATAAGGGAATGTACCCCTTAGAGTACATGGCTAGTCTAGGTCTTTTCGTATTCCCTTGTATTCTTATATAAACCCGATGTATGCATGTTTTTATTAACTCAGTCATTTACATTCACTCTGACCTGAGATTCAAACTTCCGCTGCAAACACTACTCTGCGATCAACCCTGAGCGATCCTTCGCTAAGTCCCACTTGGGATTGTAACAGCTTTGCTTGTTCTCTTGCTTGACTGGTCTTGTGACCGTCTGTTGTGTTTGCTATCTCCCACTTAGCCTATGGGGGTGTGTCAAACTGTATGTTTGTGTTATCTCTAGGCTATAGTGGGTTAGCCTACAAGGGGTACAACACTTTAGGGTTAGGTACTTGTACTCATGCATGCTACCTAGTCCACCAACCCTGCCTGCTTATTCTAACAACGAATAGTGATCATTGAAACACTATTGTGCACTCCTCACCGCAACAATCGAAGCACACACTACAGAGAATGAAGACGAACGGGCGGAAGTGACACGAAGGGTCGCACGGTTACGAAAGGATCTGGACCGTCGGGCAGACAGCATCAGGCAGCAGCAGTGGCGAGGATTCTGCCCGAACAGTTTCGTAACTGTCTGGAGTCGCACGGTTGGATTTCGCTGCAATAAGGGAATGTACCCCTTAGAGTACATGGTGTCAAAACATATTGTTCTGTTCATCTTACTCTAGGTTGTGTAGGGGTCACACCTTAGAGGGTACAACCCAACTCTCTCGACATCCTTGTACCCCCTCCCTCTTACCTAATTCAATCATTCCTTCCTACCTAATCTTAACATGGTATTAAGAGCCAAATGGTCCTTAGGACCGAATTTTCAAATGGGCCCACCTAACAATTTCGATCTGCTGCCCGAGTCGCGCCCCTAGGAGAAACGCGAAACGCGCCCTAGGCGAGACGGTTTTTCTGCCCTAGGCGCGTCCCGTCCCCTAACTGCCCTTGGCGCGATTCTTCTGCCTAGTCACGTGCGACCCCTCCTGACCGCGCCCTAGCTGCCCCGTGCGCCACTCGCGCGGCCCGTCAGCCCCTACGCCCGGTCCCCCCTCGTTCCTGCTGCTGCGCGCGCCACTCACGCTGCCCGCCAGCCCCTAGCGCGCACCTGCTGCGCGCCCTTTTTGGGCTGCTCCGCGCGCACCTGTTGCGCGCCCCTGGTTTGCTAGCCCACAGCCCGCGCGCCCCCCCTGCACTAGTGCGCCGGCTGCTGCTGCTACGTGCCGCTGCTGCTCTGCCACTGCGCCCGAGCCGCGCCGCCCAGCCCGAGCTGTCACTGCTAGTGCTACTGCTGCTACAGCTAGTGCTACTGCTTCTGCTGCTACTACTGCACTTGCTACAGCTGCTACTGCTGCCCTGCTCTTGCTGTACTGCTGCCCTACTGCCCTGCTGCGCTGCTGCTGCTATTAAGTTGCTGCTGCCGCCTGCGCTGCTGCTACTGTTAAGCTGCTGCTGCTGCTGCTGTTAAGCTACTGCTGCCGCCTGCGCTGCTGCTCTTGCTGTACTGTTGCCCTACTGCCCTGCTGCGCTGCTGCTGCTATTAAGTTGCTGCTGCCGCCTGCGCTGCTGCTGTTGTTAAGCTGCTGCTGCTGCTGCTGTTAAGCTACTGCTGCCGCCTGCGCTGCTGCTGCTGCTGCACTGCTGCTGCTCGAGCCGTCCTGCTAAGCCGAGCCGCTCCGTGCATTAGTGCTGCCCTGCCCCCTGCACTCGTGCCGCTACTGCTGCTGCTGCTACTAGGCTGCTGATGCCACCTGTGCTGCTACTGCTGCGCTGCTCCAACTGCTCAGCTGCTGCTGCTGCTACTAGGCTGCTGCTGCCGCCTGTGCTGCTGCTACCACCTGTGCTGCTGCTGCTGCGCTGCTGCTGCTGCCGCCTGCGCTGCCGCTACTACTGCGCTGCTGCTACTGCTCAGCTGCTGCTGCTGCTGCTGCTAGGCTGCTGCTGCCGCCTGAGCTGCTGCTGCCGCCTGCGCTGCTGCTGCCACCTGTGCTGCTGCTGGTGCGCTGGTGCTGCTGCTAAGCTGCTGCTCCCGCCTGCGCTGCTGCTGCTGCTGCTGCTAGGCTGCTGCTGCCGCCTGAGCTGCTGCTGCCGCCTGCGCTGCTGCTGCCAACTGTGCTGCCGCTGCTGCCGTAACTGCCACTCCTGCTTCTTGCTGCCGTTCGTGCTGCTATGGCGACTCCCACTGTTCTAGCCTTTGACGCAGTGGGGCAACCTTTAGGGTTTGACTCCTGGCTAGAGGGGCTGCACCTGTACCTCCGGAGTGTCAAACGGGACAACGTCTCCCTGTTTGAGCACACGTCGGGGTCCTTTCCGGCCCCAGAGGCTCCTACTGAACCTACTGCTGACGCTGAGGAGGAGGAGCGGACGCAGTTCCGCGCAGCTCACCTTGCCTACAACCGGTGGATGGCGCGAGACGCTGCCGCCTCACTTGCAGTCCGCCTTCACCTCTCGTTCGACCAGCGAGCCTTCTTCCCCAGGAGTCAGGTGCCGTCGGCCCATGCTTTGTATTCCGCTGTGGTTAGGCGCTACTCCCCCCCCCCTCCTGCAGTCCTAGGCTGTCTTGCGCTGCCTCTTACCTTCCCTGCGCTGTCAGACCTCACCACAGTAGCTAACGAGGGTCGTAGTGGAGCTGGCAGGAGTGGCAGGGGCGGGCACCAGGAGTTAGAGCCATTGTGTGTCGCTGCTTGTGCGCCTACTAGCACAGTCTATGCGCACCCCTCCACTGTTCTCCCGTATCTCGTAGTCCCCTCTGCCTCCTCTGGCTCGACCGAGGGGGATGACCCTACTGCTGCCGACACAGCGACCTCTCGCCGCTCACCGCGCTTGGAGACGCCTCCGGGTTTTCCGCCCCGGACGTGTTCGCCTCCTCTGCAGCCTGTCGCTGCGGACTTCGGGGGCACAGGTGTTGTTGGGGGTGGTGACGCGGAGGGTTTTGGTTATGGGGGTGCTAGTTCTGGGGGTGCTGCCTTTGGGGGTGCTAGGAGTCCTCTTGTTGGTGGAGTTGGAGGTACTGGCGCTAGCGGTGCTGGGTCTGGGGGTGCGTTGCAGTCGCTGCCACGGCAGTCTATCTTCTTTGAGCAGCCGTCGTCGTGGCTACCTGAGCCGACGCCCACTTGTACTACTCCTCTTCTGTTGTTTCCGCCGCCTGCCTCCCCTACTCCCTCTCGTGTTACTCGGGAGCCTGTTGACCTGCCGTACCCTCTCAGCATCCGGACTCGCTACGTTGCGCCCAGGAGATACCACCCTGCGCATTGGCGGGCTGCTATGAGGGTGCTGCGCTACCTGGTCAGACTAGCGAGCAGAACATAGGGCTTTGCATTTCGTTCCTTTGCCGTGCAAGTATTGCAGCAGCGTTCTCAGCTTCGCCTTAGTCCGTGGCCACACGGACCAACACTGCTTGTCTCTTGATCTTGTCTTGTATTTTGATATATAAACCTGCATGTTTACTCTTGCTAGGTTGTGATCAGTGTACTGCCTTGCTATTATAAATCTGCATGTGAACTGGCCTTGTGGCCGCCTGCTTGTGCTCAGATTGTGTGGTGTCCTTGAGATCCACCCTGAGCTTTGCGTTGCTTGTTCTCTTGCTTGACTGGTCTTGTGACCACTGTGGGGGTGTGTCAAAACATATTGTTCTGTTCATCTTACTCTAGGTTGTGTAGGGGTCATACCTTAGAGGGTACAACCCAACTCTCTCGACATCCTTGTACCCCCTCCCTCTTACCTAATTCAATCATTCCTTCCTACCTAATCTTAACACATGGCTAGCTAGGTCGTTTGGTATTCCCTTGTAAACTTATTTCTAGTGCTGTACTTGCATGTTATCATCATCTCAAGCATTTACATTCACTCTGCTATTGAGGTCAAGGGCCCACCACCTGAGGTGATCCTGAGTTCGATCATTCTCTGATCGCAGCATAGCTGAGTATGAATCTGTTGTTGACTGCTGCTCAATCAAGAAATGGCATTTCTCTCTCCCAAGAAATTAAAGAGCTTCATGTGAGCCCAATACCGTAGTTTTTATTCAGGCTAAATCCCCCCCTCGGAAAGGGCGGATTGGGGGCAGAGCATTGGCCCAGCAGGAAGCTAGACGAGTGCCGTATTCACTTATTCAGCCTAGACACACACATACCGTACGCACGTGGATGGTAGTGCTTGCGGTGGTGGGTGGCTGTGCAGCTCAACTGGAGTGCCACATGCACTCGTCTGTACATGCCGTAGTTGTCTGAATACCCGCCTACATGGGGAGCCAGAACATTCGCTGCACTATTGTCCCTCCTCGCACTACACGCCGTATTGGCTGTGAGAACACATGTGGCGATTGGCTGTGAGAGCAGCTGTAATGACAGAGCCACTATACATGCCTGGAAAACTGAAGGCCAAGCCCTGTTCAGGGTAGCCAGGCCAATAAGGCTGTTAGGGCTGCTATGGCTGGTTCGGCATCTAAGGCCAGTGATGGCAGCAGGGGCAGTGGAGGCAAGTGCTTCAAACAGGCTGCGGAATCTCCTGCGGTGACTGCGCTGGTTGCTGCACGCATGGCACGGAGGGCAGGGAGAGGGCAGGGACGGGGCATTGAGGGCCAACGACGAGTTAAAGTGAGTGCAGGCATGTGTGCGCAAGTGAGCACAATAAATGGATGAAAGGAAGCAGGGGAGGATGGAGGGAAGAGAGTGTGGAGCACAGCGAGCAGCCACCCCCCCCACCCCCTTCCATCTCGTCTCATGCCCTTCCTCACCTCACATCCGCTCCTCACGTCACGCCCTCTCCTTGCCTCACATCCCCTTTCCAATCTCCTCCCCTGTAGCCACCACATGCTTGGGGCATCGCTGCTGGGCGCACTGCCCTCTCCACCCCTCTTGACCCCTCTTGGCCGCTCCTGGGCCCTCTTGAGCCCGAATGCTCTTGCCTCCCCACTCCCTTTGTTTCCTCAGCCCCCTTGCCCTCATGGCCTCACCCCCTCTACAGCCTCAACCCATGCCATCCCACATCACCGCTTATCATTCCATATCACCCCATCCCACGCCATGCCACCCCACACACCCACGCACCTCGTTGTCCTCCGCGCCTGCCACCACGGGGTGCCCCCCATAGCTGCTGTCCAGGCTGTTGGGCGCGCTGCTGCTGCCGTCCTGCCCACTCGCACCGGGGGAGAGGGAGTGGGGGAGGAGAAGGGGTTGAATGGGAGACGCCAGTGCCCAACGGTGAAGGGGTTGAATGGGAGACGCCAGTGAGGTGAATGAGAGGAATGAGGCGAGCTAAAGTGAGGTGGTGTTGGAGGAGTGGCGCACCTCAGAGAGGTAGTTGAGCAGCTGGTCCGACTGGAAGAGCGTGGCGAACGCCGACGGGTGGAAGATGGCGCTGCCCAGAAACTCATCGCTCACCGCCCGCTCCCGCCCCGCCGTGGGACTCAGGTCCGGCGTTGCCGAGCCTGCAGGGCGGTACGGGCCGAGGCTGTCGTAAGCAGGGAGGTAGGCGTGCACCTCTGAGCTGGGCACGGCCGTGCCGTCCCTGCCGTCCGCCAGGCCCAGGCGCAGCATCTGGCGGGGGGAGAGGCAGGGATGGGGTGGCGGGTAGTTGGTTTGTAACAATCCTGAAGAACCTCCGATCTGGGAACGGCCGTGGCCCCCCTGCGCAGCATCCGCCACGCCCACGCGCAGCATGTGCAGGGGGGGGGGTGAAGACAAGGTTGGGGTGGGTGGGGGTTTTGATGGAGAAAGGGGAGTTGCAGCACAGGCTGGAGGGTCCTGGTGCAGCGATCAGGACAGCCATGACACGCACGCACGCACACAGGCGACGGGTGGGTGAGGGAGTGCAGGTGAGTGGGTGAATGGAGAGGGAGAAGTGACGGGCGAGTTGTGTCATCTGGTGAGGTAGAATGTGGTGTCTAGGCAAGGTGGGGCAGCGTGTGGATTGCATGGGGAAGCGGAATGGAGGGAGTGCATGGTGCAGGCACGTGACAAACGAAGCACGAGGAGTAGCAACCTCAAGACTTTACACTTCACCCCCAAACAATCACCTGAGCCCAGAGAATCGATTTATTGAGACCACAAGAGCAAAAGCCTTAAACCCAGGAGGGCACTTACCTGAAGCCAGAGCAGGGCAGAGAGGAGGCGCAGGGCGAAGGTGAGGGAGTGGCACGTGAGCTCCAGCAGCACTGCCGCCGCCACCAGCGGGTGCTGCCTCCACGGCGCCGTCACCTCCTCGCTCCTGGTGGGGTGGGGTGGGGTTTGGCAGTGGGAAAGGAGGGAGAGGTGAGGGAGAGAGGGCAGGTCCAGCATAATTGAGAGAGGGAGGTGGCCATGCATGTGAGGGGGGGGAGAGGAGAGAGAGGGCACCAGATGTGGGGGGCGAAGAGGGCACCAGATGTGGGGGGCGAAGAGGGCGAGCCAGAGGGAGTCGAGGAGCAGCATGAGCAGCAGCAGCGCGGCGTATGTGCGCCCCAGCGCCTGGTACCCGCTGGCGATGGCCACGAGGCCGAACAGCGCCACTCCCACGTCCGCCACGATCACCCCCGTGTACGTGGGGCCCACCGTGCCCACTAGCCCGATGAACGCCTGCAGGGGAGGGGGGGGAGTGAAGGGTTTGCCATGATCAACCCTGTGTAGGTGGGCCCCACTGTGGGCCAGCAGCCCTTGGCCTGCACGCAGGTGCGGGTGTGGCAGGCCCATGATCGCCTGCACGCAGGTGCGGGTGTGGCAGGCCCATGGTCGCGTGCACGCAGGTGCGGGTGTGGCAGGCCCATGATCGCCTGCACGCAGGTGCGGGTGTGGCAGGCCCATGATCGCGTGCACGCAGGTGCGGGTGTGGCAGGCCCATGATCGCGTGCACGCAGGTGCGGGTGTGGCAGGCCCATGATCGCCTGCACGCAGGTGCGGGTGTGGCAGGCCCATGATCGCCTGCACGCAGGTGCGGGTGTGGCAGGCCCATGATCGCCTGCACGCAGGTGCGGGTGTGGCAGGCCCATGATCGCCTGCACGCAGGTGCGGGTGTGGCAGGCCCATGATCGCGTGCACGCAGGTGCGGGTGTGGCAGGCCCATGATCGCCTGCACGCAGGTGCGGGTGTGGCAGGCCCATGATCGCCTGCACGCAGGTGCGGGTGTGGCAGGCCCATGATCGCCTGCACGCAGGTGCGGGTGTGGCAGGCCCATGATCGCCTGCACGCAGGTGCGGGTGTGGCAGGCCCATGATCGCCTGCACGCAGGTGCGGGTGTGGCAGGCCCATGATCGCCTGCACGCAGGTGCGGGTGTGGCAGGCCCATGATCGCCTGCACGCAGGTGCGGGTGTGGCAGGCCCATGATCGCCTGCACGCAGGTGCGGGTGTGGCAGGCCCATGATCGCCTGCACGCAGGTGCGGGTGTGGCAGGCCCATGATCGCCTGTAGCAGGTGCGGGTGTGGCAGGCCCATGATCGCCTGCACGCAGGTGCGGGTGTGGCAGGCCCATGATCGCCTGCACGCAGGTGCGGGTGTGGCAGGCCCATGATCGCCTGCACGCAGGTGCGGGTGTGGCAGGCCCATGATCGCCTGCACGCAGGTGCGGGTGTGGCAGGCCCATGATCGCCTGCACGCAGGTGCGGGTGTGGCAGGCCCATGATCGCCTGCACGCAGGTGCGGGTGTGGCAGGCCCATGATCGCCTGTAGCAGGTGCGGGTGTGGCAGGCCCATGATTGCCTGCACGCAGGTGCGGGTGTGGCAGGCCCATGATCGCCTGCACGCAGGTGCGGGTGTGGCAGGCCCATGATCGCCTGCACGCAGGTGCGGGTGTGGCAGGCCCATGATCGCCTGCACGCAGGTGCGGGTGTGGCAGGCCCATGATCGCCTGCACGCAGGTGCGGGTGTGGCAGGCCCATGATCGCCTGTAGCAGGTGCGGGTGTGGCAGGCCCATGATTGCCTGCACGCAGGTGCGGGTGTGGCAGGCCCATGATCGCCTGCACGCAGGTGCGGGTGTGGCAGGCCCATGATCGCCTGCACGCAGGTGCGGGTGTGGCAGGCCCATGATCGCCTGCACGCAGGTGCGGGTGTGGCAGGCCCATGATCGCCTGCACGCAGGTGCGGGTGTGGCAGGCCCATGATCGCCTGTAGCAGGTGCGGGTGTGGCAGGCCCATGATCGCCTGCACGCAGGCGAGGAGCGCAGGGCGGTGGCGCGTAGCAGTCCAATGACGAGGGGCGGAGGGGGCCGCATGGGTGTGATGTGAGGCCATCCACCACTGCGTGCGCTCCCACCCATGCACACGTGCTGGCACGTGCATGCATGCGGTGCATGGGGTGCATGCGGTGGGGAGGACGCAGGGCGCGACTGGGGAGGGGAGGAACAAAGGAATGACAGAGGAGAGGAGCGCGGCGAGCAGGTGGAGAGGAGACGGCGAGGGGGAATGTGGGAAGAGGGGAAAGCAGAGTGATGCACGTGGGATGGGGGAAGGTGAGGGGGAGGGATGCGGCGATGGGAATGGAGAAGGGGGAAGCGGCAAGGGGAGAGGGGAAGCGACAAGGGGAGAGGGGAAGCGGCAAGAGGAGGGGGGAAACGGCGAGGGGACGGGGGAAGCGGCGAGGGGGGGGGGGAAACGGCGAGGGGAGGGGGAAAGCGGCGAGGGGAGGGGGGAAACGGCGAGGGGAGGGGGAAAGAGGCGAGAGGAGGGGGGAAGCGGCGTGGGGAGGGGGGAAGCGGCGAGGGGAGGGGGAAAGCGGCGTGGGGAGGGGGGAAACGGCGAGGGGAGGGGGAAAGAGGCGAGAGGAGGGGGGAAGCGGCGTGGGGAGGGGGGAAGCGGCGAGGGGAGGGGGAAAGCGGCGTGGGGAGGGGGGAAGGCGGCGAGGGGAGGGGGGAAGCGCGTGAGCAGGTGGGCGAGCAGCAGGCAGCGGGGGCTCGAGCGGCTTGCCTCCTCGCTCGTGGTGGCAGTAACGTGGGATGGGACCCTCCCTGAAACGGGAGCGGGTTACCAGGTTACCTGCAGGTAGAGCAGCGTGAGCGCGGCGTTCTGCACGTCCTCGTAGCTGTCGAGCCACGACAGGAAGAAGCCCTCCACAAACAGACGCGGCATGCCGCCCCGTCCTCCCCTCCTCCCACTCCCCCTTTCCGCTGCGCGCCTCTAGTCCGCCTATGATGATCTAATCTCGTGCGTCACCTCGCGCCACACGGGGCATGCCGCCCGCCCCGCGCCCCCCGCCGCTGTTCGCCTCCGCAAGACGCTCTTCGCCTGAATCCACTGCGACTCCACTCGCGTGCTCTCGCCGCTACGGCGGCCTCTCGTCTATATCAGCGTCGCTGATGCGCTCAGAGCGTCGACGCCGCTCTACGGCTGCACGCCTCTAACTGATCTTCATCGCGCTATGGGCTTTTCGGGAACGCCTACCATGCTCTCGCTGGTCGTCCGCGCATCGTAACAAGTGCGGGTAAGTAGCAACTTCCTCAAGAGGCTCTCCCTCCCTCCGACTGAATCAAATTCGCGCGTGTGCGTAGGGACATGGATAACATTATTCTAGCTGGCTACAAAGTCTTCGTCGTTTACCTTAGACAGGTAGAATAGCACCCTGCCATCAGCTCGGTGCAGACCCGGGTACGATTCCCGGCTGGCACAGTAGCAGACGTTTTGCTGCGTCCACCTGTTCTCTCCGAACTTCGATTTCTCGAAACAATTTCGCCTTAGCTTTTCGCCATCGTGATTTCGCTGCAAAAAGCCACACACTGGGTCTTTGTTGTTCGTGTCATTCGGTTTTCCGGAAACCAGTACGTGGGCATGAAGCGGCTGGTTTCCAACTTCGTGTGCACCCGACAAACACCGTTGACCCGGAAGTCTGAACACGCCCTCAACCCTAACTTTCGTGTCTCTAGTTCGATGTGCCTTCTGGCGTATACGACTCGCAGCACTAGGTCGTTAACCGCAGCTCGTCCGTTATCCCTGCTGCAACCGCTTATCGGCCCAGCCGTTGCTGAGCAGCGCCGTCACAGCTGCTCTCATCATGGTCGCGGCGGCAGCGGCGACCGCAGCGATGAGCGTGACTGGTGTCGCTGCGCACTCGGCCGCGCAATCGCACACCGTCGCTCGCGTCGCCGCGTTGCGGTTGCCGGCTAGCAGCAGCGCGCGCCAAATGCGGAGCGACGTTTCCGCGATGGGCGCCGCTCGGTCCGCCTCCGACGCCGTGCGGCGGTGCGCCGAGCCGCGGCTGCTGCCGGCACGACGGGGGAGCATTGGCGCGCGCGCTAGTGTTGAACAGCGCCACGTGGCAGGTGCATGACGTAGCTGGCAGCATGTGACGTGTTGTTCCCTTCCGATATCGCCCCCCTAGACCAATACGATATCCCCAATGAACTGCTCACAGGGCCAAAAGGGGGTTCTTCATTGGCGCAGCGGATGCCTTTAACCGTTCGTGTGAGCCCGCACGCATCACACTTCCGATCCTGCCCGCCCCAATTGCCTCTCCATTCGACCTCCCGTCGCTCCTCCCCCCTTTCCCCTCCACCTCTCCGTCCTCCCGTGCGCCCCCTTCACAATGCTGCAATCGCGCGCGCCATTGCCACCCGCGTGGCGCCACCGCGCTGCGTGCGAGCAGCGCCGGCACCTCCCCTTCCTTCCCCACCCTCCACACCTCGCTCTCCCCTCCGTTCCCCCATCCCCTTCCCCGCCTTCCCCCCTCAGCGCCGTCAGCACAAGCGGCAGACACAGCGGCCTTCTCGCAGGGCGGCTTCGAGCGGCTGCTGCTGGACCTGCAGGCCGCCATCTGCCACGAGGTGAGGTGCGGTGAGGTGCGGTGAGGTGCGGTGAGGTGTGGTGAGGTGATGTAAGGCGGTGACATGTGGTGAGGTGATGTCCTATGTTTCGTCCCATGGCCGCTGTCTGCCCATCGTCCCGCTCGCCCCTCCACGTCACGTCGCCCCTAACCCCCGTCACCTGCACGCATCTGTGCCGCCACTGTCGCCACCTGCGCTGCCATCCCGCTCTCGTCTCTGCACTCATCGCACCCTCCCCCCCCCCTGAAACCCCCTTTCCTCCACCGCCCACACTATGTGCGGCAGTCAGCAGAGCGGGACGGCAGTGGCAAGGCGTTCATAGAGGACCGGTGGGAGCGCGAGCCCGGCAACCCGGGGGCGGGGTACGGCATCACACGCGTGCTGGAGGGCGGCCACGTGCTGGAGAAGGCCGCTGCTAATGTCTCCATCGTGCGCGGCCAGCTCACTGCGGCACGCGCCAAGGTGAGCGGAGCATGGGGGGAGTTAAGAAGAAGAGTGGGCGGTAAGGGGTAGGTAGGGAGAGCAAGAGGGGCTTGGGAGGGCTGGGGACTAGGTGGATGGTTCACGGGTGGGTGGGAGGGTAAGTGCAGTGCAGTATGCAAGAGTGTGGCTTGCGCGGTTGGACTGTGAACGACTGGCGCGTCCCTCGCATGTCCCTGGCACGACCTTGCCTCAGAATCTGTGCTCGTCTTGATGAGAGAGCTCACTGCCTGGCACCCACGGAGTGCCACCATGCCTGGCGGTGGGTGGATGGTCCTGGCGGCCTGCATTGAACAGCCTCCGTGCCGCGCTGTCGCAAGGAGCTTTAGAAAGGAAGGTTTAGGGTTGGCGTTTGGGCAAGCATCCTTGGTGTACCAAGGCTTCTCAGCGGAAACGGCGGGTTGATTGAAGAGGCGTGAGAAGAAGGCTGATTGTGAGGAAGCCATTATCGAGAGCGCTCTTCCACTGACGCTCGCTTAGGCCAAGTCCAGCGCAGGAAGTGATGAGACCTGTGGGCGAGGAGAGCTGTGGGCCCAGTGCTGCCCATGGAGGGCAGGCGAGGGAGGCTATGCGTGCCTGGCAGGGCCACTCTGTCCCACCCGGACAACTCCTCCTGTCCCTCCATTCCTCCATGCATGCATCTTTTTGTGCCCCTCTCTCCCCGTCTCGCTTCCAACAATCGTTCCCCGGCACCTCCACCTACCCCCCTCTCCCCCCGTCCCCCCCTTTCCCCTCCCCCAGGCCATGAGTGCGAGGCAGGGGAGGCAGCTGGCAGAGGGGACGGGGTACTTCGCCGGTGCGCTGTCGCTGGTGTTCCACTCCGCCCACCCGCTCATCCCCACCTTCCGCTCCGACATCCGCTACTTCCAGGTACCTTCCCCTTCCCCCTTCCAGGTAGGCCCTCTACCCCTTCCAGGTGCCACATCCGCTACTTCCAGGTGCCACATCCGCTACTTCCAGGTGCCACATCCGCTACTTCCAGGTGCCACATCCGCTACTTCCAGGTGCCACATCCGCTACTTCCAGGTGCCACATCCGCTACTTCCAGGTGCCACATCCGATACTTCCAGGTGCCACATCCGCTACTTCCAGGTGCCACATCCGCTACTTCCAGGTGCCACATCCGCTACTTCCAGGTGCCACATCCGCTACTTCCAGGTGCCACATCCGCTACTTCCAGGTGCCACATCCGCTACTTCCAGGTGCCACATCCGCTACTTCCAGGTGCCACATCCGCTACTTCCAGGTGCCACATCCGCGCCCCCTCTTCCTCTTCGGATGGTCCTTCATTGAATAAGCATGCAATACAGCAAGGTCATGTCATTACGGTAAGGACAGGCATGCAAGGTAGGGGCCTAAGGCAGCTCGAAGTCGGGCTCCACTCCAGTGTCGAGGGGTCCGTCCTGAAAGGCGGACGTGGGTGCCTCGGCCTCGAAGGCCGCCAGAGTCTTGGCGCAAAGGGCGTTCGCTTGGCCCCTCTGCAGAGCAATCGACCACCTCTGCCGGTAGGAGTGGAACAGCTTCACCGCCTCACGTGATGTGGGCTCAGCGATGTTTTGCCGCGAGGTTCAGAGGCGCATGAACTCCATGACTCCTCCTCTATCTTCCACCTTCCAGCTGCGCCCTGCATTCCCTGTCACACCAAGTACATATTTAACATCTGTATGGTCATCCCTCCTTTATCTCTCCCCCTCTTTTCGTCTCTCTCCCTCCCTCCGCCTGTCTCCCCCATCAGGTGGACGGGCAGAACGGCTGGTTTGGTGGAGGGGCCGACCTCACGCCCTCATGTGAGTTCACGTCACCCCCTCATGTGAGTCCACGTCACCCCATCATATGAATCTATTGTTGTCACCGTTCCATCCTCCAGCAGTCCATTTCACACCTCACAACCACCCACTCACACCCTCTTTCTCTTCCACCCCCCTCAGCCCCCCCTCTATACCTCCTCATCCCTTCTCATCCCTCCTCAACCCCCCTCATCCCCCTCCAAGGTGCAAAAATACGACCGTTTATGAAACTCTAGGGTAAAATACGCTATTGTATAACACAATCCTAGAAGACATCTTGGAGCGGTGGCAAAAATACGGCCGTTTTGTTGCACCTTGCCCCCTCCCCAGACCTCTTCCCGGAGGACATCAGGGAGTTCCATGCATTCTACCGCGCCATCTGCGACGCCTACCACCCGGCGCTGTACGCGGCGGCCAAGGCGCAGTGCGACAGTTATTTCTACCTGCCGGCGCGCAGGGAGCACCGCGGGGTGGGCGGCATCTTCTTCGACGACCTCGACTGCATCCCCCCGCCCCACGCCCCCCTCGCCCTCAGCCCCGCTGCCGCTGCTTCTGCTGCTGCCACCACTGCTGCTGGCGCGGGCGAGGAGGGCTTTGAGCGAGCGCATGGCTTCACGGGGGACGTGGCGCGCGGCTTCATGGACAGCTTCTGGCCCATCGTGGCCACGCGGCGCGCCTTGCCGTTTACTGAGGCGCAGCAGCAATGGCAGCTGGTGCGGCGCGGGCGGTATCTGGAGTTCAACCTGCTGTACGACCGCGGGGTGAAGTTTGGCATGGATGGCAACGGGCGCGTGGAGTCCATCATGGTGTCCGGTGAGAGGAGGGCTTTCATATATTCACGCGTGCGCACCGCTCTGATGGAGAGCCATCATAATCATTTTCTCCTTCCACCACCTCATGTGGGTTGACCTTATCTGCTCATTGCAATTCCTCCCCCCCCACCTGAGTCTAGCCTCCATGAATCTCGCTTCTTATCGACCCCCCATCCTCCATCCCCTCACCTTCCGTCATTTTCCGTCCTTTCCCCCCTCTCCTCCCATCGCACCGTGCACGTGTGCAGCCCCGCCTCTCATCGCATGGCGCTACAACGTGCAGCCGCAGCCAGGCTCGCCAGAGGAGGAGCTGGTCAAGGTGCTCAAATCACCGCTTGACTGGGCGTGACGCGTGATGCGTTGGTGGACTGGTGTCTTGTGCCATAATGTCTGCATGGCGTTCCTACTTCACCAGTGCCGCCAACACTCCCTACTATTGCACAGTTGTTGGAGTGTTGTCATAATGGAATCTCTATCACTACCAGCTTTCTACACTCTACCATAGTGTTGTTAGAGCAGGATGTACACTCTGGGAAAGTTGATGGCAA